TTGGACACTTACAAGGGTCTAGAAGATTGCTAACACAATGGATGATGGCTAGCTTGTTGAATCCAAGCTTACTTCCTTCTTCCTTCAAAGGCTTCAAGAACACCACAAAGGCACTAAATGAGGGAGAGAGAGAGAGAGAGAGAGAGAGAGAGAGAGATTAGGGTTTCACGGGTCTGATGGAGGCTGATGGAGGTTGAGGGTGAGCAAACCCTAGCCTCCTCATTCCCTTAAATAGGGAGTAAAACTCAAAAAATATGGTTTCTCATTTGACAACTGCCACGTCGTGGTGGATTAAATGAACATGCGAGTTGACCTTGACTTTCCATGTCGTGGTGTCTCACCACCACATCATGGTGATCCAATAAAAAGGCCAAATTGTGCAAAATGTAAAGTGCCTTAGGATTCAGATGTTACAAATTTACTTTAATTACATGTTTGTGTAGATTGACCTTTGTTCGGAGCTTTGTTCAACCACATTAAGTCAAAACATTCACCTTTATCGGAAACAAACTGTTCCATTGAGTGGGAGTCTCTCCCAAACTAAAAATGACTTATCGGTCAATCTTCTTATTTAAGTAAACATATAAAAACACGTTGCTTCTAACCCTTATCTCTATTTATCTATTTGGTATGTTAAAAGGGAATGTTCTATAATATCCTTTAGATTAACCCACTGATTCAATTCGGCTCCCCCTCTTGGCTATCCACATAAACAATTAGACCAGTCCCAGTTAGTTAATGGTCACTATCGAAATAGGATTTATTTGGTTCTAGATGAAACACTCTAGGGAATCTTTTTCATCAAGAACCACCTTTTTCTCATTCTGTTTTTCATAATTTTTTGCATCTCGGTCCATCTTACTTGATACCAAATGAGCACAAGACTTATCATCCTCTCTGCTAGAAACATACACAAAAGTGTTGTTAGCACTCAAATTCATAAAAACTCCTTCATTCATTTTTTTATTCTCGTTGTCGTAAAAGTTAGTTATCGGTGCAAAGATATGATGATTCCCCACCCATAAAGATCATAGCTTTTATTACTTGTCGTCTATTCATATTCCTCTCATTACATGTATGCTTAACACCTAGAAGCCATTTCAACATCCTCGTCGCCAATAAGAAATGCACTAAAGCAAAACTACAACGAAACCCTAGACGTTTTCCATTCCCACGAAAACTAATTTTGATCTTGAACAATACTAATTTTCATGAATGAACATATGTAACACCTCAAATTTCAAACCAAAATTTTCATTTTTAAGTTACCCAAAATATTGTTCATAAACCAAGTCATCAGAAAAACACAAGTGTCTAATACAAATCATCATCACAAAATATCAGAGTGCCACAAAATGCCTAGTAACAAATCTCCCAGCGAGTGTGTACAATCATACATTTGCATTCCCGCGATCCTCAGAAGTACCTGAAACACATATAATCAACAACTGTAAGCACGAAGCTTAGTGAGTTCCCCAAGATGCCACCTACATCACAGCATAAATAAACAGCTATGAGTTATCAGCAACCCTGGGACTATCAGCAGTCCCAATGGACAAACAGCACGCCATGTAGGTTATCAACAACCTTGGAGACTATGCACAGTCTCAGTCACACATAAATAGCATAACACAATAATAACAGTTGGACCCATTTGGTCATCACAAATACAACTATTCTACCACACAGGTGAGAATTAGTGAAGAGACTCACCTGATACTGATGACAGATAAATCTCACACCCGAACTGCCGAAACTAGACTCCGCCTAATAACACAATAATTAACCCTAATTAATAATTAAGGTCCAAAACTCAACTCACAAGTCTAAATCCCACAACTATGCCCCTTAAGGGCAAAAAGACCATTTTCCCCTTCCATGGTCCAAAACCCTAAATCTTGACCAAAAGTCAAAAGTCAGCAAAAGTCAACTGCCCAACACGTACGCTGGGCGTACACTCCTCCTACACGCAGCGTACTTGAAGAACCCGGCGGGTCGGGGTCAAGCCTGGCTACGTTGGGCGTAGCTAGAAGTACGCGCACACTCCTCCTACACGCGGCGTACTTGAAGAACCAGACGGTTCGGGGTCAGGCCTGGCTACGTTGGGCGTAGCCAGAAGTACGCGGGACATACGTCGCCTGATCCCAAAATCATTCCAAAATGTCTTAATCGTTAATACATGCAATCCAAACATAGATCTAACCTCCATTGAACGTCTTAATCAACAAAGCCCAAAACTTTAAGCCTTTGCATGGCTGAAAAGAGCTCAAACCTTAAAACCCTAACTTAATCCATACTCAACACCACTAAAATCTTGCATAGCTGGAAAGGGACCATCAAGCAATCATTTTTATGAGTCTAAGCACTTTAATACATCTAAAAGGACAACCAAAATACTGTGGAGTAACCCATACTGACAAAGGTCCAAGCTTTGGGACAAAAGCTCATAAAAACTCATCTATGGAGATCTAGAAAGAAACACATCAAGGTATAAACTTTATACCTTAAAAAGATTCACAAAGTGAGGTAGTTTCTGGATCCACAAGCTTGCAAGAAACACCACCTTCTTCAATAGTATTTTTCTTCAACAAGAGAGCACCAAAATCACTAACAAGCTTCAAAATCTTCACACACAAGGCTTAGGCTCGAGATCAGGGTTTGTAAGGAGTGGAGGCTGATAAGAAATATCCAAGGGAGACATAAGATGGATTAAATAGGGGAAAACCCTTAAATTTAGGGTTTGGGAGCTGAGCTAGTACGCCCCGCGTACTAGCATGCATCCCGCGATCCATGTCTCTCACAAGTACGTTGCGCATACCTCATGTACACCCAACATATGGGCTGAAGTGCGAATCTTTTAACAAGGGACCAATAATGCAAACTTTAATTAGGCCAAGGGCTAAAATGAAAATACCTAAAAATCGGATGTTACAACATCCCCCCTCCCCCATTTAATATCATCGGTGATCAAAAAAGTCAACGACCTTCTCAACGTCAACAACGAGATCAACCAACAAGAGTGTAGGTTCAAGGCTTTCACACTAAATTATTAAGTTATATTATAGAATTTTAAACTTTATAATTCTAAAAAAATGGTTGAGCGTATCCATGGACGAAGCTTGCTTAGCGCAAGGGGGGGCTGTGGCTCCCCTGAATTTTTTGTTAGAAATAACCCTTCCACTATAGTTTATATACATATTTAGCCTAAAAATATAAAATTTATGCTGTGGCCCCCCCTGCTCTCCGATTTTCATGTATATTATATTTTCGGCCCCTCCAAAATAAATGTCCAAGCTCCGTCACTGAGCGTATCTGGAGATAATTTAAGCTTCAAATAAAGTATTTGTTTTAAAATCATCACTAGATTTGTAAATCCACTTCCTATCTCACCAAAAGCTTCAAAAAAATCACTCTTTTCTATCCTAGCTCACTTAATGTTCAAGGGAAGACTATGGCTTTAGCTCATAACTTTGACATAATGGCAAAATTGGTACTTAGATTTTTAAGTTTTTTATTTGTTTCCCAATTAACTTTATATAACTAACAATCTTTATATTTCTATGCCAACAAGTATTTATATTTTTTTATACTTTTATCCCAAATGAATGCAGCGCGTTATATCACCTTGTTATAAATGAATAGCCTTTCTTATTTTAAACAAATTATATCTAATCAAAATCAAAATAATTATGTATGGGTGCTGATTCTTCCACAACTTCTTTTTATTCATCCACATAATTCTATGGTTAATTGACAATGATGCCCTTCACTTAAAAGAAAAGCATATTTTAATACTTTCAGGAAATTGGATCATTTCCTTTTTTATCCCATGGAGTTGGCTAAAATTCACAGTATAGACAATTTATATCTACTTTTTTTACTTTGTTCATCATACGGTGGAGTTTTAAGCTTCAGTCCATAAATCCATTATTAAGATGAATTGTCTCTTCAAAATTAAGTTTATTCATCATGAAAATCTTCTTGGTTACCTAGGTGTTGAATTTCTCTATTGCTCCAGTGTGTGTATGATTTCTTCCTGGGGGTTGGCTGCATATGGGAGTTTTTAGCAATAGAGATCTCTGGTTTTTATTATTTTATGTCCCATTGGGCTGGGATTGACTCAATTCTTTTCGTGTGTGTATGTGTTACCACTAATTTTATACAGATGGCTTTCTTGGTGTGGAATAAATTTGGAGTTCTTTGTTTGTATTCCTTGTGTGTGCAAGTGGTACAAGGCCATAAGCTACAGGTTTGGTCTATGTGAGGTTTACACTTACAAGTTAGAACCTATTGTTGGGTTTGTTTATGTCCAAGTCCGTTACATGCTAATTGTTGTGAAAGCAATTTATATCTGGTTGTAGAAGTTTGTAGCTGGAATAGAGTTGATCATATGGTCTCGTTATTACCTTGAAAGGTAGAGAATCCACTTAATTGGTGAAATTTGCATATTGGTCTTGGCTGGTTCTTTTGCCTAGCTGTGATTACCCATTACAAAAGTTGTAGGTTCAAACTTGTTGTGGTGGGTGGAGACGTGGAGTATCAAGATCATTGCTTGGTTAGGTGGTTTAAAGATGCTTTTAACCTTGGGTGTCTTCGTTGGTCGTTGTTGTTGTTGCTTTGTTTCCTGCTATTTAATTTAAAGACCCTTTGGCCCCTGCTGCTTGGGATCCCTTATGATGTCTTTGGTTTAAAGATCCTTTTGCCCTTGGCTTTTTATTGGTGCAATTTGATCAGTTTCTACAGGTGATCAACCATTCTTGCCCACATCCACTTTGACGTAGCGCCGAAGATTGCAAAAAGTTAGAAAAGTAATTTTTATTTTACCTTATGTAGTAAAATGGATGGTGGATTGATTACAAAATTAAATGCTTGATAATCTTTATTTTCTTATGTTGTGTTGAAAATTGCAAGTCTTATTGTTGCACCAAAGGAGAAGAAGGAGGAACAAGAGCGTGTGGTGCATTTGGAAACAAATCATTGGGTTTCTCTTTCCTCAAAATCTCTTCATTTTTAAAATCAGGGCGTAATTGTCGGTTAACTTTAAAATTATGTGGATAAATAAAAAACAACCGTGGAAGAATCATCACAATACATCTACACACCCTAAATGCATGATCCGTTTCTTCAACCATTTCGGATGGAAAAATATGAATAAACTAAAGATCCGTCAATGGGCACGAACCCTAGTCCCACAATGGCTACACAATTTATGAAAAGCCTAAAAATCTCGAGTTTAACGGTAAGAACAAATCTGGGCCGGTCTAGAATCTAGAACATCATCTGATTACATCCTCGGTTTTTTAAAAGAAGGAAGAATCTGGGAAATGGAACTCAGAAATCTTGACTGCTGATCTCTTCTTTTGATCATATGAATCAACATGGAGGTAGGTCTAAAGGCGGAGCTTCAATAGATTCTAGTTTTCCAGGTCCATTCTCGACCAAAAAGCTCATAGCAAATCCCCAAGTTAGATGCGAATCTATGTGACAATGCATTAACCAAACTCCTGTTATGAACCAGATAAATGATTTAAGTTAGACATTATGTAGGTCGATTATACGTTTGTGATGAATGTAATACCTGGATTATTGGCAACGAAGCGAATTGCTGACCATCCACCAACAGGGACATTAACAGTGTTTCGACGTGGTGGATCTTTCTAGGTTAAAGTTTACAGTATCTCCTGGATTGAAGTTGCCAAAACCCTGACCAACAATGTAGAAATGGTGTCCGTGAAGATGAACAGGGTGATCTTCAGTTGAGACAATGGCAGTGTCTTGTAACACGATTTGTACTTGAGAACCAAATTTAAGTTTATAGAGTTTTGTCCCTGAAACAGGCTGCCAAAGTGCACGAGGGACATTACCTGTGTAATCGAAAACCAATGGTGGAACAGGAGGAAAGTCCGTAGTGAACACATTTGGTATATTTTGGTAATGAGCTTGTAATAACGACGTTGTTTGTGGTAACACGAAAGATACATTGTTCATGCTAGCAGCGAATCTTGTGTTATTCGGGCCTTGACATGTGGGTCCAGGGCTACAGTTCACTAGACCTAACCCGATTGCAAAAAACAGGTCTTCGGTTATATCAGTTGGAACCTCGACCTTTGAAGGACTCTTTAGTTGGCTCGTGAACGCAGTTACAGTTACTGAATCGTTGTAATTCGGTAATCTTGGTAAAACCGGTTTTACTGGTGGCCCGATTTGCCTATTGATGCATGGAGCGAATCTGTATGCAAGAATGGCGGTGGTGGTGGTGGTGTCAAATGGTTCATTCTGGGAACTTTCATATGCACGCGCCGCCATGTAGTAGTATCCCGGAGCTTGATCTGCAACTAGAATAACATCAGTTGTTTGTCCAGGGCCCAGCATAAGGGTTGTGGTTGTGAATGGCTTGATGTAGAGTGCATCAACTCCGACAACTGTTAGTTTGTGGTTTGCGATTGTGAAAAAAAGCTGTTGATTGAGTGCCGAGTTGATTATCCTCAGTAGAATTCTATCGTCACTTTCAACATAAAATCTCATCGTATCTGTGTCATAAATGGAGCACATTAATTAGTTGAAGATTCTAGACTCAAAAGTTTGATCTAATTAGTTAATTACCTTAATACCTTTGCTCGAGCATCTATAGAGGTCGCCAGGTTGCCCATTGATAGTGTACGCATCAGAAACGTTCGGAGCACCTCCTGAAAACATCGCCTGGTTTAGGATGCTCATAATATCGCCATTCCACCATTGGCCTATAATCATCAAAAGCTCAAACTTTAGGATCATATATATTCATATATAGCTACATACGTACTGCATGCGATCATTTAATAGTAACATTTACTCGTGTACTTTTGTGCTAGTTGATAGTCTTACCAAGAAGAATCGGGATTTCTAGTTTGGGCAGTGGGAAAGGGTAAGAAGATCCAAGCTTTGGATGGATAATGAGAGCTCCATAGACAGTAGCTCTCAGCCATCTGCTATGAGCATGCCACCATAGCGTTCCTTCCTGGTTTAGTATAGTGAACCGATACGTGTAACTGGCTCCTGGTTGGATCGGACACTGAGTAATCCGGTCTGGACCATCAGCCCATGGAGTCCCAAGCTGAAGAATCCCATGCCTGATGATCATGGAAACACGATTCCATTAAAACCGGTAAAAGTGCAAACTTAAACCATTCATTTTAAGAACACTTTTAGACTCACGACTTACCAATGGATTGTCACATTATAACGCGCGTTGTTCAAAACTTTGATGATAAGTGTATCCCCATCCGAGACCTCTAGTGTTGGGCCTGGGAACTGCCCGTTAACTGTAATCACGTTCTTCGTTCTGCAGAGTCGCTTCACGGGGGTTTCTTGAACCTGTTTCCACAACGAAATTCAGAGAAAAAACTTGTTGAAAATGATGATGGAGAACAAAGAAGATTAGTTACAATGAAATCATGAAACTGTATTTCTGCATTTGCACCGGAAGATATAACAGAAAGGAAGCTGATGATCAGAAGGGGTATGAAGAATGCGGCCATTGAATTCTAAACTTCTGGTGAGCTTTCATAAACCTAGAAACGCTAACTTGTTCAACATGGTCTAACCAGGAAGAATTTGGTGCACCTACTGTCTTCCTCGATCGGCTCAATAAAGAATGCATTCTATTTTCGATGGTCCAATCCACCTAAACCAACTTTTAACTTTGGATTTGAAATTAAACCCCATGTATGATTTTGTAGTTGTATACGTAAAGTAATTGAGATCATATACTATATTATTATAGAAAGCACTTTAAATATTTTGACTTATAGCTATTTTTATTAAAGTATTCATAAAGTTGGCCTCACAACTAGAAAAAGAACATCACCGGTAGTTAAGCCAAAAATCCTTTGGTGGAATTACATATACTTTACACAACTATTATAAAAGATTTTGGCTTTGTTCCAAAATTATTGTCAACGGACAAAAAAAAAACACACAGATTAAAGAAATATTAATTACTAGGGGTGAGCAAACCCAAACCAAGAAACCGACTAAAACCGACGAAACCGAAAAAACCGAAAACAAAGCAAAACCGACGGTTAAGGTTTGAATTTTTTAAAAACCGAAAAATCAGGTTCGGTTTCGGCTTTTACCCAGAAACCGACCCATCCAAACCGAGAAACCGACCCATACTTGATTGTGTTTTGCTTGTAATAGACTATTTTGGGCTTTGGTTGTAACTTGTAAGACTCATGTTTTTTTGAAGCATTTAACTTAAATTTGGTGTTTTTTGAAGTATTTAACTTGTTTGCTTCATTTATGGAAAATGGGTTAAAACCCAAAACCCATAGGTTTAAACCTAGAACCCGTGAGTCTATGGGTTGAACCCAAGAAACCGAAAAACCGTCTAAACCGACCTCAGAATCCGAGAAACTGAACCGACCAAAAACCAATCCTATTGGGTTCTGAAAACTAGAAACCGACTATTTATGGGTTGGGTTGGGTTTGAGTCCAAAACCAACCCAAACTGACTCATGCATAACCCTATTAATTACCACTAACTTTATTAAATAAAATGATAGTAATACATTTTGATTTCATTTAATTACATCATATTGTTGTATTTAATTTCATTGCAGGTTAAGTAATAATAATGAGTATTTTGATAAAAACATATTTATTTTAAAAAATAGACAATTATTTTAATATAAATCAAAAAGGAAACATAAACTATTAATATTAATATGGACGGAATGATAGATTCTACTTTCATCAATTTTGAATTTATGTTACTCGTTTTCTTTGTTACTAAATTCTTTTAGTTTACTTATTTTTCACGTTGTAAAGATGACACGTTTATAGCCTTATAGGTCCATTGTCAAATTATGATTTCCGATGTTTGGTATCCATTGAGCAAAGTTTGAATAGGATCTCTAAAACACTAATCGTGTAATACCTCTTGAGATACTGCTTTTCCTTCCACCTTCGGATCCTACGTCTTTCAGTTCGAAGGAGAGCTCACAGTTTTGTTCGACATATCATTTATATTTCTAAAGGGCTAACATTTTTACTTTCTACAGAGGACTCACCACCGATCTCGGCCTCAAATCTTCTTTTGTAATTCAGGCAAACATCTCTTGTTTATTTAGTATTCCCTAATGCTTCTTGTTTTATTGTTCTGTTTTATCTCAGATAATGCAAACCTTCAAAACTTTTGTATCAGGAGATGAATAAAAGCAAAACAGTAGATGCGTACGTATGTCTGTTTAACTTATAAGCACATGCTAAAATTAAATCAAGATGATCAATAGGTTCACCATTGCTACCTTTGTTTTGTCTACCACATGTTCGATGAAATGTTTAAAAGAAAATTATCTTGATGTAACATCAAAATCCGTTGCTTTGTTTCGTTTACTACATGTTTTTGATGAATAGCTTCTGAGAAAATTATTATAATCTAACATCAAATCAGTGGCATTCATCATTTCAAACTACAATGGGCGGTTTAGCATTTTCACAAGTATGGTTATTAACTTGAAACAAAACGCAAGTATGCATCTTCAAAAAGTTTGTCATTTTCGAACACTAGGGGTTACTTGGTAATATATGAAAGTATGTTGCTACTGTGGGTAAAAAGTATAAGTACATTGCTATTATGGCAATGGTAAAAGGAGTAAATTAACAACAATGAATACCATTATATTTGCTTCTTTAGAAAATAAAATTACACACTAGAATGCTTTAACTGATTAAGTAGATGAAAATTGACCCGAAACCCATCGAATGAGCTTACATATATATTTTTTGCTTCAAATTGCAAAGTGAAAGGAAAATAACACAAATACTATAATCCAATGGCGCGAAACAAATGTTCATGTATCACACACTATAATTGTCCAAGTGATCTTAGCATTGAGGAAGATCGGAAGGAGGAGGCAGTAATGTTTCAGATTCCCCAATTCCATTTTCAACAATGAAAGCCATTGCAAAACCCCATGCAAGATGAGTATCTATGTGACAATGCATAAACCAAACTCCTGTTACATAATCCCAGTGTTAGTTAGTCATAAACTTACCATCATCAAGAACAGAAAACAGAAAGACAGAGATTTATAAACTGATGGGTGTTTAAAATAAATTAAAGTTTACCTGGATTATCCGCAACAAATCTAATAGCAGCCCACCCCCCAACGGGGACATCGATTGTATTCCTTTGAGGTGGATCAACAAGATTGAAATTAGCAGTATCTCTGGAAGGATTAAAATTACCAAAACCCTGACCAACGATGTAGAAATGGTATCCATGGAGATGAACAGGATGATCTTCCGTTGAGAAAATCGAAGTATCTTGCAGCACAATCTGCACATTAGACCCGAATTTGAGCTTGTAAAGTCTCGTCCCCTTAACCGGTTGCCACAGCCCACGAGGGACATTGCCAGTGTAATCAAACTGCAAAGGCGGAACACGCGGAAAATTTGTGGTGTAGATATTCGGAATGTTTTGCGTGTAAGCTTGAAGTAAAGACACGCGATTTGGAAGCACAAACGATACGTTATTCATGCTAGCACCAAAGCGTGTGTTATTAGGCCCTTGGCATCTAGGTCCAGGGGTGCAGTTAAAGAATCCTAATCCCACTGCCATGAACAGATTTTCATCTATTTTAGTAGGAACATTTACTTTATAACCAGGACTCTTTATTTGGTTTGAAAAAGCAGTGACTGTGTTTGTATCATTGTAAGCCGGAAGTTGAGGTAAAATAGGCTGTGAATTAGCAGATTTGTACTCCAAGATGGCAGTGGCTGTTGTATTATCAAACGGAGCGTTTCTAGCACTTGTGTAAGCTCGTGAAGCCATGTAGTAGCGCCCAGGCTGCTGATCTGCAGTCAAAAGGACATCCGTGGTTTGACCAGGGCCAACCATGATTACATTCGTTGTAAACTGTTTGGTGTAAACAGCATCAGTGGCAACCACGGTTAGTTTGTGGTTAGCGACACTGAAGAAGAGTTGTTGATTGAGTGCAGCATTGATGACCCTCAGAAGAACTGTGTCCCCTTTGTTTACAGTTAGTTTCGTAGTACTTTGGCTTGAACATCGGAAAAGATCACCAGGTTGTCCGTTAATTGTGATAGCATCTGATATGTTTGGAGCTGCACCAGAGAACAATGCTTGTCGTAGGACACTGATGACCTTTCTATCCCACCATTCGCCTGTTTAATCATCAAAGATAAAATAGTAATTAATTAAGTGTTCTTAATTACTTACAAAGTTTCAAAAACTGATTATATAATATAATTAATGTACCTAGAACAACAGGAAACTCGATTTTGGGCGTTGGGAAGGGGTAAGAAGAACCCAACTTAGGTCGGATAACAAGTGCACCGTAGACTGTGGCTCGTAGCCATCTGCTATGAGCATGCCACCATAATGTTCCCTCTTGGTCGGTTATGGTGAACCTGTATGTGTAGCTTCCTCCTGGCTGGATTGGACATTGGGTCACAAATTCGGGCCCATCTGCCCATGGGTTTCTAAGTTGGCGTATTCCATGCCTGAAAAGGAAAACGATTTGAACCATTAATTAGCCATTGCAATTGCTAAAAAAGAAATCCCGAATGATATGAAAGTGTAATTAAGTACCAATGGATTGTGACATTGTAAGGGGCAGCATTTGTGACTTTGACAAGAAGAGTATCACCATTTCTTACTTCAAGAGTCGGTCCTGGAAACTGACCGTTGACCGTTACTGCTCTATGGTTTCTGCATAGCCTCCTTACTGCTACCTCTTGAACCTGTAACAGCCAAAGTAATTAATATTCAATCAACCACCTCAAAGATAACTAACCCCAAATAGATAACTGAAAACTTAAATATAGAGTATATATAGCACATTTATATATAGGACGTACTTTAAACTCATGGTGGTGTGTTTCTGCATATGTGGTAAAAGCAAGGGAAAGCAGTAAGAGAGCCCGAAGGATGGACATGGATATCATCGTGAGAGAGGTGAAGGTTTGTTGTGTGTTTATATGGTGATCATAGGGGTGGGTATATATATAAGAAGGGATTTGGGTTAGGTTATGAGTCAATAGTGAAGTTGGAACCGAGGAAACATAAACCAACTACAAAGATGATTTTGGTGTAACAACTTGGTTTTTTTTTTTCAATCACTTTTGGAGAGTTGCTTTTGTAGTGATATGAAACAGGTACATTTCTTCTCTTCTCAGTGGTTGAAATTTGTTTAGGATAAAACATCATATAATAACTTATGAGTGTGCATGGAAAATTAAACGGTAGAATCAGAAAATCATTGAATTACGGGATGTTATTGACGCTGAAAAAATAATAACTAGATTGGCTGACTCATACATCGAATTATAGAACCTATATATATTAAAAGGCTATGACTTTCAATCCGAGTGGAGATACATGAGGTTCCCCAAACAGGCTAAATCATTGGTCCAAAATCCTTCCAAACTCAAATGTAAAGTTTCTCGAATTTAAGTTATTTCGGTTTTTTATTATATTCTATGTCTAATTATGTAAATCGAGAGAAATCTA